CTTGGATTTTGATGATAAAGTCAATTATCATTTGGTTATCTAATCCATATGTTGAGATAAGTGTGTAGGATTAACTACGATGGTAGTAAGACCTGCAGTAAGTGTTGCGCCGAAGTCAAGACCAAGATCACGTTGGGGGTTCTAGAGTTCGATGGAAGTCCAGATGGTTGTTGAAGGTTCTACGGGAACAAATCTGAAAAGTCCAGGAGCTTGCCAAAGAAGCTCATTGGAACTCGCCAAGAGGATCATCGCGAGTCCAGGAGTTTGCTGGAAGTCCACCGTAGCATCACCGAGGGTTCGTCAGATGTTCGCCGGAAGCTCGCTGGAAGAAGCGATTGACGCACCGGAACACGAGTTGCAGTATTAATGTCTTAAATGTCGTAGTTAACATAAAGATTATGTTAGGAATGGGAGGTGATCCCATTAACTTAATCTGTGGCCAATTTGGCCCTTGACAGACCTAAATTGGGCCAAATGGATCAGCCCATTCGGACCCAGATTTCTTGGCCAGCGATGGCACCGCTTATAAGCTCGGTCTCCGAGGGAATTCAGGTGGTGGTACCGCCCCTATCAGATGGTGGAACCACCTGAGCTTGGTCTCCGAGCAAAGTTAGGCGGTGGTACCGTCGTTGTCAAGCACTGGTACCCCTTGAGCTCGGTCTCCGGGCAGTGTCAAGCGGTAGTACGGCACAGTTCTGGCAATATGGTACCGCCAGGACCCCGGAAATCCAGGAGATGACACTTTTGAGCTCCAAATTCAAACCAGTTGGGGCCTATATAAACCCCACCCTTTCCTGCATGAAAGGGCACCGAAAGCTTACATTTATTTTGAGAATTTGAGAGCTTAAAAGTGTTGTAAAAGGCTAGAAGTTCTTCTCCCTCTTTTCTTCTAAGTTTTGATCATTCAAGAGAGGAGTGAAAATCTGTAAGGGTTATCTCCTAAGCCCGTCAAAAGGAGTAAAGTTGTAAAAGGGTGGTTGGCCTTCGCCTATTGAAGGAAGACCTCTAGTGGACGTCGGTGACCTCATCGGAGGAGGAATCCAAAAGTGGATGTAGGTCAAGCATGACCGAACCACTCTAAATCTCGGTTTGCATTTACATTCTACTCCTTATCTTAACTGCAAACTGCCTCAATTGCTTTACGTCAACTATACTTCCATTTACTCTTAAGTTGAAGAACTTTCCGAAACGGTTTTCATCGAAAATGATTTCATCGTACGAACGTCATTTTAATCGACGAAAGTTTTCCGCTGCACTAATTCACCCCCGCCACCCCCCCCACCTCTTAGTGCTTTTGATCCCAACATATTTATCATTTTATCATGATTTGAAAATTGATATAAAGGGAAAAAAATTACAACAATGTATTCATTCTTTCTTTTTGGCGATAACTAAATGGGAGAAAAGTCTTGCTAGCTTGCACATCACAAAGAAAAGAGAAAAGTGCTAGCTTATATATCTTAAGAAAAAAAACTTGCAAACTTATCTCAAAAGAGAAGAAAGAATTGCTAGCTTGCAATATCAAGAGAAGCACAAGTGTTATCTTGTCTATCTTAAGAAGCAAAGAATTATTCATTTGCACATCTTAAAAACTTGCTAGCTTGCATGTTCTAAAATAATATAAAACTTATTAATTTACTAGCTTGCATTCTATTTCAAAAACTTGCTAGTTGTACTTCTCATTTTGTTGATGACAAAGGGGGAGAAGTTACGATGATAATATGAAATTATGCATGAAATACTCATGATATTATGATGATGCATACAATGAAAATTTATGATGATCATACATGGTAGGATGTAATGTACTTTGATATTTTGATACCAAGATGATTTAAAATATTTATGATTTAGAATTATGCATGCAATGAAGTGATTAATTGGTTCTTTCAATATTTATGATGCATGCAATGATGAAATACTCATGATACTCTAAATTTAAAGTTTATATCAATATGACATATTGATAATGAGAGTTTAGTTTAAACTCCGTTATCAATTGGTTGTCATCATAAAAAAGTGAGAGATTATTGAATCTCGGGTTTTGATGATGAAATCAATTGATAAGTTTATGATCTAATATACGTTTTGAGTAACGCAAGACTAGTTTCAATTATAGAGACACAATTTGATTAAAGTAGAAAGAATCAATATTGGGCCGAAGTCGAACATGTAAGAAGATTGGACGTCGAGCCGAAGAATCGGTTGATGTGTTGGCAGAAGGCTTCGTGCTAAGAGTTCGGGCATCGAGCTATGAAGATCGGACATTATGCCAAGGAGATTGGATGTTGCGGGAAGACAATATATCGATTAGGCAGTATGCCGATTGGGCAATATGCCGAAGGAGAGGACAATGTACCAAAAGGTCGGATGAAGCGCTAGATGAACTAATGACATGTTGGATAATATATAATTGATGCTTTGTAATAATTATCTAGATCGAAGTAGTTTTAGTTATAATTAGGTTTGTTTATAATATAATTAGGCCAACTCAATTAAGGGCCAACTAGGTCTGAATTAAGACTATTTTGGGCCAAGTGGAAGGCCCATTTAGTGACCCTCAATTGGCCCAAGCGGTGGCACCGCTTGAGGCTCAACATCCCAAGTGGTCTAGGTAGTGGTACCACCTAGACTAGGTGATAGTATCATTGTAGTTAATGCTGTCAAGCGATGGTACCGCCCTGTCAAGCGATAGAACCGCCAAAGCCTAGTTTTCAAGGCTTTATCAAGTGACGGTACCACCTAGATTGGGCAGTGGTACCACCTAGTATCAGACTAACAAGTGGTGGCACTACCCAATACTGGCGGTGGTACCGCCAGTAACCCGAAAGCATGGGGATTTAAATTTTGGCTCAAAGTTTTGAAACCATTTGGGGTCTATAAATACCCCACAAATTCCTACTTAGAATATACATAAAAATTGTAAAAACTTTGTGATTCCAAGGCTGTAAACTCTTTTAAGTATAGAGTCCCTCCTCAAAGAGCTTATTGATAATCGATGCGTGTGAGAGAACACTTATAAAAGAGGTATGGAAAGGTTCACTCTTGAATATATGAAAAGGAGTGAGTGTAAGGGTAGTTGATCTTCATTCATTAGAGAAAAGATTGATAGTTGAAGCCAATGGTCTCGAGTGAAGAGGAATCGAGAGTGGATGTAGGTCACGACGACTAAACCACTATAAATCTGGTGTACTCAGTTTACATTTCTATTCTGTTTTTCATTCTCATATTACAACCTAATTTACTTGCTTACTACTTTTACTATACTTACAAACGCACTTTCAAATTAAACTTATCTTTCCGATACAAGCTTTATCGAATAATATTTTTAAATTGACATAATTTTTCGTAAGCACTAATTCACCCCCTGCCCTCTTAGTACCGACTTGATCCTATCAAGCATTTCACGTAAATAGACACTAACGTTTGTTAACTCAGATTTGATGGGAGGAGTTTATATGCTATATTTTTTAAAATATAAGATTTATTTTAGGTACGAGTAAACCATAAGGGCTTAAGAGGTTCATGACCAAAACTACAGGGTTAAAATGGACCTTAATCTTTAATTATATGTGTCATTATATTAACTCAAACTTGATGGGAGGGACCTATATGCTACGTTTTTTAAAATATAATAGGTCATTTTAAATACGAGTAAATCATAAGGGATTAAGAGCTAAAATATACCTTAACCCATCTAAATATGAGCTAAAATATATAGATAATTCAAACGTAATATCTATTATTTTCTTTTTTTTTCTATTTCTAGTATTTTTGAGGTTATTTATGTGTCTATATATAAATAATTTTTTTGTGTATTTTAAAAAAAATTATATTTTTGAGTATTTTGCCCCATTTTCAAATTTCCAATAGGCTCCACAACCTTTTTATAATTCTAAAGTTTCTCATCCAAACACCCTATGGATCAATCCATAGTGTGAACGATCTAATCCGCATGCATAAGGCTCACATTATTAGTTAGAGTTTTTTTAATAAGCTTTCCATATTTTTAAATTTTCACTTCCACCAAAAGTCCATTCGAGAATTCAAGAATATCGGAACTTAGATAAATTGACTCAAAACCCAATAAAAACTAACTTACATACAAAAATATGATTTCGAATAATTATTCTTATTGATTTAGAAATAAAATAACTAAATAGATAGGTTTTTAATTATTTATAATAATTTTGAATTGGCTAATAATGTTTTTGGTTCCTCCATAAAAATACTGTAAGTCTATTCTAAAACGTTATAACTAAAAGCAAATGTACCAAAGATCCAATAAAAATCAGCTCGTTATAAAAGAAATAGGGTTTCGATTTTGTATCTTTATTGGATTAAGATCAAGAATAAATAAATATTGAGACTTTTACTGTGTTTTTTAATAGATTTATAATATCTTAAAAATATTATAAATTTATTTAAAGAAAACTGTAACTGAAAAATTGGACCAATCTAAAATTGGTCGACCAGTTCACTCAATGGATCGGTCCACCACAAATGGAAATAGTTATTGTGTCATATAAGGAGTGTTTCAAGGATTATAAAAAGATGGGGCGTACCTCTTAAATAAATACGTATCTCTGAAGAGAAATTATAAAAAAAATATTTTTTTTATTGATAACAACACGCATTCTCCAAAACGCTAATTGCTCTTTTGTTGTATGTACCCAGTCGCTACCGTATGACTCAGTCGCTAGCTCCCACATGAATAAATTTTCCTATATCTTGACCTGCTTATTCTGATTCAAGTTTCAGCTCCATGGTCATCCTATATCGTATGGATTCAGGGGTTTTAAGACAGTGAATATTCCATTTTGATCAATGAAGAAACCCTTAAATGTTGCGTCTGAGAAAATCCAAGCAGATATTAATGATAAATCAAAACATGTTAGAGAAGCAATATTGAGCATCACACAAGGGCAAGCCTTTCAGCGGCAAAAAACATATTTTCTCAGGTGGTTTCAGTGATTCCATTGAATGAAAATGTCGACAGATAAATGTAAAAGAAGTGAATGCATTAAGTGTTTCACTTTTCCGTCAAGTTGACCATAAAATAACATCATCCTAGAGAAGCTTCCACAGGGTGAAGATGCCACCATCAATTTCCACAAATAACAAATTAGAAACTATTATCCTCGACGACTTTTTATAAGGAACATGGCGGTGGTTAGTGGATATTGACTCACGACTTCGAGAATGATGGATCTTTTTTTTTTAAAGGATGTTGATTGATTAGTGACTCAATAATTACTAGCTCGTTGTCATTATATTATCTATAATGATTCTTGGAATATACTAGAGCACGAAGGAAGAAACATATTGGTATAGCATGGCCATGTTAGGCAAACATAGGAAAAAAGAAAAGGCTTGTCAGTACCTGAGGAGCTTTGTGAGTTGGCCTTCTGTTGATTCTTTCTAGATAATATATTGACAAAAGTCACCTGCACTTTCAGTTTCTTGATAATTCAGCATGTATTAGTAACCAATGTTGGAAATTTTCAAGCTGTAAATTTCCTAATACCAATGTATATAAATTGTAGGTATATAATACATATAAAACTACAAGAAAATTTCACCTAAAACACTCATATTAAAAGTCAGTACTGAATAAGTTGGAAGACGTAGTTCTCTTAGACTAAATATCCACCAAAATGAACACCTGAAAAGCATTAATATGGATGTGAATATGATTATTCCTCTTATGGCTCAAGAGTGTATCTTATTAATGCATGCAACTACTAACTAGTAATGACCACAACAAACCCTTCATATCCTTCCATTTCATTGTTGCCAAATTACTAGAAAATTGCTCCTAAACCTCTGTTTTGAGAATTTCGACAAATGGAATTCTTCCATTTTCTATTATTGTTTTTCACTCCAATGACATGTAGTCTTTCCAAAATTCCGCAAATTTTATAGCCTAACGTTGAACGATTCTTACAATCTTGGTGACTGAAGCATCGATTTGTTCCATGGAAACTGGAAATTGGGCGTGATCGGATTCTTATAGTTCTCACCCTAGCAGCGCAGGGAAGCCGCTCCGGGTCCGGGTCACCGTGGTTCGGGGGCTGCTCGGGGTCGACCGAGCCGCCCGCGGCGAGTCGAGGGTCCGACGGAGGAGCTGCCTGACGGCGGCAATCAGCTGCTCCGCTGGATCCACCGCCGCGGCGTCGGCCGAGCGGAAGCTACGGCAGAAGCTGGCATGGCGGACCATGGCCTCCTCCGGCGAGATCAGCAGCTCGGAGCGGCGGATCTCGTCCTGGACGGCCTCGGCGCAGAGGCCGCAGATCCACCGCCCCCCGTACTGCTCCCGGACACCCGCGATGTACGCCGGCGTGCACTCCTCCGTGAGCCCGCAGCAATCGCATGCCGCGAACTCTACCTCCACCGCCGCCGCCGCGGCTACAGCTTCTCCCCCGCTAATCACCGTCGCGGACATGACGAACAACGAATCTAGAAGCAGGCTTCGCCTAGATCTAAAAGCAAGAGAGAAATTCCAGGTTCAAACAGAGAAGCGAGGTATCGACTGCTCGATCTAGATCTGTTAGAAGAGTAAACCAACTAGTACCGATTGGAGGGGGAGGTGGGGCGATGGAAAAGAGATGGAGGTGGGTGGCTACCGCTCCGTCTCAACAGAAGCAACATCGATGCGCAAGTCCTTCTCTCCTCGGTCTCCTCCTGCAGCGGCCGCCTGTGGTGTGTTGTTATCCTCCTCGCGGGGTAGGGTGACCTCCATCTCAATCAAAGACCCAAATCAAGGCGTCGCTCTCTCTCTCTCTCTCTCTCCGTCCTCCCTTACTCTTCTTCTTCTTCTTCTTTGGTTCTCCGACGATTGCTTCCGTGCGATGGTGGGGGTTGGGTGCTGCTGGGTGGCGTCGGAACGGGGTTTTTATTTCGTAGCGAGGAGTGTAGACGTAGGTCCCGCGCCAATGATTGGGGAAGTGGGTTGGGTGACGGAGCCGCGTCAGCTACGATGGGTTGGCATTAGATTCCCCGCCTTGCCATTCTCCGAGCTACGCTTTCCCCACCCGCCCAACCCACCTAGCCTTCAATTAATGGAGACAATGGGACCAACTAGTCTATGTCCAGTCATAGCACAGGTAGAAATCGGGGCAGACGATAATGTGCGTATTCTTTTGGGCCAGCAGGCATCTTGTTTCTGGAGCGACGATGCCAGCTGTCTGCCAATTCATCATCGTGTCTTTTAACAAAGTCCGCTTCCGTTGGTGGGAAGTCGTCGCCCTCGCCCTTGAGCAAGGTGGGCCTCTGATCAACAAACAGGAGCCCACATCACACTGATATTACTTGGGCGGACCCGATCATCCCAACCACTCCCTGCGTCAATGTGATCTCTCTCGCAACCTAAATACCATGCAATTGACGCAAAGGACCAACCAACCTTATCAAGACTCGAACCAATCCAACCTTATCAAGAATGACCACATCGGATTGATTCGGAAGAATCCCACGAAATCATGATGAGACGCTCTCTCATCTGACATCTTATGCTTACCAACTTTTGACTGTAAGCATGGCCACTGTTCGAATCAAGTCACAAGAATCTCACAGAATCATGATACGTTTGTCTCATTTAATATTTTTTCTTCTTATTTTACAAATCGAACCCCCACTCCATCATGGCATTTCGCATCCCAATAGGTATTCTTTTTTGGATTTTCCTGTGAAACCAATTGCTATTACGAATAAAGCTGCTGATATTTCAATTTCCCTAAAAGATCAAAGACGATAGTTAGATCACCCTTTACAGAAGATAGAATCAATCCAGATGCTAAAATCACTATTCTTGTGAATTCCACGTCATAATTATCCACCTTATCATATCCAGATGCTTTAGATATCGGTAGTGTTAGATCAAAAGAATATATCAAAGATCTGATGTGGAGGTAGCTAAACATACACTTGATGGCCAACAAAATGCTAGCTAGGTATGATATCCTCCAGCAGTTGATGCAGAAAGGACTTTTAATTGGAAATAATATTTTCTGCATTGTAATTCACAGGATATTTCAGTTGTGAGTGCTTGCTTGGGCAATTTATTGGATTAAGAAACCATAAATAGTAAATTGCTCCGAATTATTTTTTCTACACATCAAAAATAAAAAACAGGTAGTAAGAGAAAAAGGGGAAAGTCATGACCCTAAAATATTCACTCTACAAATGCTCACAAAAGTCTAGTCTTATATTTAAAGTGCATCTGGCAATTGGCATGTCTTTTAGTTGAAAAAACAATATCAATCATTGTTATCTGCATATTTTCTTCATGAACATTAACCGATATTCACCAAAGATACTTCAAATAATTTTATATACAATCAAATAAATAACATTACAGGTTATTCTACTTTCACGTATGGTTTTAAGCTTTAAAGATGGAATTCCATTGACTACTGAAGTAGACGATCTTGTATGTCACAGGCTTTTCCTTTGGAACAATTTACATGGGCCCATGTTTTACATTGTGATGATTGACGTTTTTGCATAGAATTCTTTCGCTATATATGACCTGCATAAATGATTGTGCAACAACAATTTGACAATTATTTGTCTTTAATCTAACTGTACACAAGACTAGCATATTTCTTATCCAGTGTAAGTCAATAGCACGAGTCTACTACCAAACGGAGACCCATATTTGAAAAATAAGATATAGAATATTGCTCACTTGCTTTTGGTTCTGTGTTTAAAAGTAAATGCCGTTGAAAAATTCACAACTAATCTGACATTTCTAATGTTGAACAAGTGGGCCTTACTAGATAAAGAGCATTCCAAAGTTACTTGGAAGATAGAGAGCGGAAAACCCTAAAATTAAGAGAGCTAAAATATAATGTTCTTAATTCCTAAAATTAAGAAGAAAATGTATTTAGAATGCTACAGAACACGTCATATCTTTATTTCCGCATTTTTGTTTCTTAAAAAGCATAGAAATATACAAATAATTTCAAAGCAGGCTATAACCTAATACTTCATTTGGCTCCAAACTTTATTACTCCTAGAAATTTCTTCAGATTCATATCAACTTCAATCCTATGATTAGACAAACATGTGGATAACAATTTCCCAATAGTTGTTTCTTTAAAAAAATTATTGACACGAGAGTGTCTAATTTGCTACAATCTACTCATTTAGATGTTACTGATACTATGATATTTATTTCAATGAACAATGTTGTTTCATAGTCTTCAACTTAGCCCATTTAAATATGACAGCTCATCAGCATATTCCCTGTACAAAGTTAAAGCTATTTCAAGATATTTTTCTTCATAACTAAGGAATGCATTAAAGGAGTTAGTTAGCAGAAGTAAAACATTTAATTTCAAAATTTTCTATGCATGAAGGGTTGTTTCATGCACTAGTATTTATTTTGATGTTTAGGGCTTAGAAAAGATTTTAGAAACTAATGGTATTTTACATAAGCTCTCTTGGAGTATTATATCCTTATTTATAATTCTTGGGGTGGTGAACTTTCTATATCCTTTTGTGATTTTAACTTAGTGGTGGGCTATTTTTTGATCTTATTTAAGTCTTATCATGAGTTCGTGCCTTTTCTATTCAAAACACTCACTCTAGCAAATACAATTGGACTGCGACTTTACTTCGAGAGTTTGTTTCTTGTCTACTGTGACTTTTCTATCCGAAATAATCATTTTAGCAAACACAGCTCAGCTGTCGATTTTTTCTTTCAAAATCTATTATGTATTTTCAATTTAAAAAATGATACTATTAATTTTCTTTCAAAATCTATTCTACTTTACCCCCCCCCCCCCTCCGGATATCAGTTTGATATCAATGCTAAAGGCTAAAGATCATGACAAGGCGGAATGGAAAAGATATAGTTGGTGAAGGTAGTTGCCATGAAGATGATGTTGAGTCGTTGAGGTTGCAGCTATGAAGATTGCTGCGTAGTTTACAAGAAAAAATGAAATAATCAAAGAACTTCAAAGTAAACACAACCAGCATGAAAATGATGTCCATGAATTTACTTCTGATGATAATACACCTCCTCATCCAAGGGAGTCGAGAAGATTTCGTGCAAGGCATGAAGTTCAAGATGAGTGGCAGAATAAATACAGCTCAAGATTAGATATTCTAGAGTTTGAAGGTAAAATCAATGTTGATGACTATATCGATTGGTTTAATACAGTAGAAAGAATTTTTGATTTTCATGAACAACTAGAACAAAAGAAGGTAAACTTGTGGCACTCAAATCCAGATGGAAT